TCAAAATTGAATACATTTCTGAACACAATACTCAATCGGCCGGGCGCCGTAGTGAAAATCGGAGCAAATGTGACCAAGACATAAAACAATCGAATAATACTGTATCAGTTTCACATTTACAGCGGTCAAAAGCATTCACAAAAAACGCCAGAGTTGGCAATCATATAAAATAAAACCAATCCCGCTGTGATTCAAAGAAATAACTAATTTACTGCATTGAGTTCAATGTTATAACCATGTCGATTTACATGAGTGTCCGATTCATTGTACCAAATTTAAACATTGACTGTTCTCCAGGAAGCAATAAGCTGACATATATCATATTTTACATTTTAATACAACTGAAAAGATAATAAATGTTTTAATATAAAGTTGACGTAGTTATAAATGTTTTCAGCGTAAAATCAAAGCACAACCATATAATTAAAAAAATTACGCTGGGATTCCAACTGGATACAACTGACGAGTTGTATTTAAGGTGGCCTAAAGTGCTGCTTATATTTTCGTGAAGCCACTCAGTAAAATTACGATTTCTCTGCACCCTGATGTTCAATCAACATCATTCGAGTATCTATATGTTCCTGACACGTTCGGGCATCCGGTTATGACAACGTCTACCCAATGTTTGCACGAGAAATTGACGTAATTCATGACTGAAATCGGGAAGACAAAAATATGTGATATTCTTTCAGAATTGTTTATAATAACTATTTACAAAAACGTTCCCGAGACACAATCCATTTAGGTAGGGTTTGTTTTAAAGTCGAAAAGCCCCAATAAGACAATACAAACCCAGATTAAACCCAGAAGAATGCAGATTTCATGTAATGATTTACGTTCATGTAAACAAGTAAAGTACATATAATCCCCATATAAAACACTGGCCTACGTGACATGTAAACACAGGTTAAATAGAAATATAGAAAATTTTCAACATAGCATTTGCTTCCGTGTTCTGTATGCCCCTCATAAGGCAATGTATCTTCAAATAAAACCTTAGCCAAGTAGATAAGGGTCTCCAGAACACTTTTGTATATAGTTTTCACGGCTTTGTATAAAAAAAACCTCCTACCTCATACCCACCTACCTGGAACATGATACAGTCATTGAAGGGTTCAATTTTAATGATTATTAAATCTCAAAATAGCTCAAAGTATTAACATTTCTACAATTCCGGCTTTGTTTTATGACTAGACAGATGACAGATCCATAAATAAAGGCATGTGGATGCATTTTAATGTGTAATGATCCGAGGGCGCCCCGGGGGAATAAATAACTAACGACCGCGACCATAGGTCCAACAAGCCAGAAAAAGAAATTGAAAGAAAGTGTGCTAAATTCGATGCTCCGAGTGGGAATCGAACCCAGCTGGGATGTAGTAGCAACTTGCTATCAAAGGATCGTTACAAATGCTTCTATAATTCATCATAAATTTAGATTTAATAGACTAAGATCTTTAAAATTGAACCCTTCAAAGACTGTATTATGTCCCACATACGTGGGTAGGTGGGTATGAGGTAGGAGGTTTTTTATACAAAGCCAGTTTTCACAAGCAATTTTATTCCCGGACGCCCAAACGTGTCAGGAACACATATATATTTGAATGATCTTGATTGGACATCAGGTTGCAGAGAAATCGTATTTTTACTGAGTGGATTATTGAATTTCATAGATCTAGAGGCCCTTCAGGAGTGGAAAACCTTAAATTATCAGAGATTAATGTTTCCAAACTGTTTTGAAACAAACTAACGTCTTGTTTTCAAC